ATACTATATGTATATTTCTACTCTGGTTTAAGGTATTATCTTTATGTAGCTCATTGAAAAAAATGTAATATATAGTTAAAAATACAAATTATTAGTCATCTATAATAGTCAAACTTATGTTGTATTAGTTAGGTTTTCTAGATATGCAGAGATATATACCAAATAGATAGGTAATTTTCAAACACTTCAAAGACTTACAGAATATGACATTTAAAATGTTTTTTTTATTTTAATAATTTTTTTTATTAAGAAAAGAAGAAAAAAAACATAAACAAAAAACAAGTTTCCACCTCCTCCCAGCCTCCCATTTCCCTCCCCCTCCTCCCACCCTTCTCCCCCTCCTCCCACCCTTCTACCCCTCCCCCCACTCCTCTCCCCCTCCCTCTCCAGTCCACAGAGCAGTCCAGGTTCCCTGCCCTGTGGTAAGTCCTAGGTCCTCCCCCCTCCGTCCATATCTAGGAAGGTGAACATCCAAACTGGCTAGGCTTCCACAAAGCCAGCACATTAAGTAGGATCAAAACCCCGTGCCATTGTCCTTGGCCTCTCATCAGCCCTCATTGTTCGCCATGTTCAGAGAGTCCGGTTTTATCCCATGCTTTTTCGGTCACAGTCCAGCTGGCCTTGGTGAGCTCCCAGTAGATCAGCTCCACTGTCTCAGTGGGTGGGTGCACGCCTCGTGGTCCCGACTTCTTTGCTCATGTTCTCCCTCCTTCTGCTCCTCATTGGGACCTTGGGAGCTCAGTCCAGTGCTCCAGTGTGGGTCTCTGTCTCTGTCTCCACTATCCTGAGTGAGGTGTCCCAGACCCAAAAAGATGAACATGGGATGTACTCGCTCATAATTGGTTTCTAGCCATAAATTAGGGCCACGGAGTCTACAATAGGTGAACCTAAAGAAGCTAAGTAAGAAGGTGAACCCAAGGAAAAACATATAGTTATCCTCTTGGCTAAGGGAAGTAGACCCAATTGCCGGGGAGAAAATTAGGATCTTGGGGGTGGGGTGGGATGGGGGTAAGGGGAGATGGGGAGAGAAAAGGTAGAAGGGAAGGAGGGGGGACTTGGGGAATCAGGAGAATTTAAAATGTTTTAAGAACATAGACATTTCTCAACAGTGAGAGATGCCTGCTCCTGGAAGCACCATTTACTTCAAGAGGATGATGGGCATCAAAAGAAGCTCTTTAAGAAGTTTGCTTTCAGTGTGTCAAGATTAGTCATTTGTGCAAAAAAAAAAAAAAAAAAAAAAAAGCTCTTGCCTGGACTGCTTGATAATATGCTGTATGAACTGGACATGTTTGACCCACAGAAAAGTGACTGCTGAACAAGGTGGGGCAGTCCTTCAGGGTTCCTGCTTCATGAAAGAGTCTGCCAGACATTCTGCAGGACACAGAAGAAAGGACTGACAAATTTTGCCAAAACAGGCGTGACAGTCCTTCAGATTTCCTGCCTCACTGACAAATCTGCCAGACATTCTTGGCCTATAGGCTAAAAATGAATGCCCCAACATTACAAAAGAACTTTGCGTAACTGTCCAGGAAGCCAGATATCTCTGTCATTTCTAGAGTTTTGGAAGTTGCTTACAATGCAGTTCCCAGTTACTTAGGTAACATCATATCCTTCACGGGACTCTAATGGAGTTGAAGACTAGATAGATATAATTGTAATTTTCCTTAGTTATGATAAAAGAAAAACTAGATATGAAACATTAGACTCAAAGAGATGAAACAGATGATATAATATTTTATTTAATTTTGTCAAATAGAAATAGACTAAATATTGTACCCCTGTAATTCTTTCTTGATGACCAATTTGTTATATGTATTTTTACTATGTTAAAGTTAAAACCTTCCTTTTTAACTAGACAGAAAAGGGAGATGATGTTGGATGCCCTTCTGTATGCTGTGAATATGCCTTATTATCATTGGTTAATAAAGAAGCTGATTTGGCCAATAGCCAGGCAGAATAAAGCCAGGAGGGAAATCAAAATAGACACAAAAAGAAATAAGGTAGATTCAGGGAGATACCAGCAGAAGCAAGACATGAGGTAAAAAGCCACAGAGATCATGGTAAATACAGAATAATAGAAATGGGATGATTTAAGTTGTAAGACCTAGTTCATAATTAGCTTGAGCTAATAGGCTAAAAAGTTTGCAATTAATATTAAGCCTCAGAGCGGTCATTTAGGAACTGGCAGGTGGGAGAGAACTGTCCACTTACAAGAATGAGTGGAGAATTCTAAGAGACCGGGAAGGAATAGCGTCTTCTGGATGTGGCAGAGCTGTGCGTTCATGAGCTCCTATAGTTGCATGTTCAAGGTATGCCCAGGCTCAAGTCAACATGGATGGGGGAGGGGCACACAGGTCCCCACGCCTAGCGGAGGAGCTATGTACAGCTGACGGCTACCAGGGGAGAACAAACCCATTTTCTCTAAGGTGTAGCCTCTGACAGGTTATCCAGGCTCTACATTCATGGCTATATGAGCAGCATTAACTATATTCAGTGTGTGTTAACTAAAAAAGAGGACACCAAGTTTGGGAAGAAGACAGGGGAAATGATCTGAAAAGAACTAGAGGGGAAGAGGAGCGGTGAATGTAACTGAAAATCCCCATATGCACATATAGAATTCTATCTCGAAATAACATTTGTAAAAATAAATACCACTGAGTCAGCTGACAGAAGTCCACCTGCTTGGCTTAAACAACATTATATAACTGATACAGAATCACATGGCCAAATTTCTACTCGAAAGTTTATAGTTAGTGACAATATTTTCCAAAAGACAAATCTCTCTCTGATGGTGTCACTTAACGTACTGTTTATAGGGTCACTTGGGACTCATGGGAACGTAAGTACACTATCAAAACCCACTGACATTTTCCATTGGAAAAATGAAATCTTTTTTTTGTTGTTGTTGTTGTTTTGTTTTGTTTTTTTTTTTTCAAGACAGGGTTTACTTGTAGCATTAGAGCCTGTTCTGGAACTAGCTCTTGTAGACCAGGCTGGCCTCAAACTCACAGAGATCTGCCTGCCTCTGCCTCTGCCTCTGCCTCCCGAGTGCTGGGATTAAAGGCATGTGCCACCACCGCCCAGCTGGAAAAGTAAAATCTTAAAATTCACAAGGGATCACAAAAAGGCCCCAAATAGCTGTAGGAATCTTAACCCAATTAACAAAGCTGGAGTCAGTGTACCACATGACCTAAAAGATACTAAAAAGTCACTGTAATAAAAAGAGCACAAAACCAATTACACAAAGAACAGAAGAGACCCCTGAAATTGATCCATTCATTTATGACTTCTTATACAGATGCCCGTTTTCTTAAGCAGTGGTGTTGGGCTAACTGGGTATCAATATGCAAATGAAGAAATTAGGTTCTTATCTCATACAGTGTATAAAATCAACTCAAATGGATTAAACTTGTGTGTGTGAAACTGCTAGATAATGCATAGAGGAACCCCCCTCCCCCCGATATTGATCTGGGAAATGAGGATTTGAAAAATCCAAATGCTGAGACAACAAAAGTGAAATCACACAAACGAGATGACTTTCAACTAAAACTCTTCCATATAAGTAAGGAAGACACGGCTAAGTGGACAGACAACCTATGGGATAGGATGAGATAGGTCTGAAGCATACATCTGATAAAAGGTTAGTTTCCAATACAAGCAGCTCACACAACTCCTTAGTAAGAACAAAGTAGACCTACAAAATATACAAAGATCTAAGCACACAGTTCTTAAAAGAAGAGTCAAGAACTGACTAGGAGATGACGCAGCAGTTTAGAGGGCTCATTGTACTGGCTGGAGAGATGACTCAGCAGTTTAGAGGGCTCATTGTACTGGCTGGAGAGATGACTCAGCAGTTGTATCTGCCTGCAGTATCTGCTAGAGGACCCCAGTTTGATTCCCAGCACCAACACTGAGCAGCTTGCATCTGCCTATAACTCCACTTTCGGGATATCCATCACCCTCTCCTGAATTTATGTACATCACCACCATGCCCAACACACATATGCATAAACATAAAAATATTTACTAAAGAAGACTCATAAAATATTCAACAAGTTTATAGAAACAAACAACTTGTACTATCATTGTCAGGGAAATGAAAAACCAAACCTCGTAGGATATTATCTCCATCTTGTTAGAATTGTATTATCAAATGAAACAGAAGCGTCAGAGGACAAAGACAAAAAGGGAACCACTGGAGACTGTTTTTTCTAAATGCACATTAGTATAGCCATGTAAAAGATAATATAAGGGTCCCTCAAAAGATTAATGGTAGAACTACTGTGTGATCAAGCTAACCAACTACCAAGTTAACAGCCCAAGGATATAAAATTAACATGTCAAAAAGATAACTTCATATTCATGTTCACAGCAGCACGCTTTACAGTGACCATGACATGGAATCAAAGTGTGCCGGTCTGCAGATGGATGAGGAGAAAGTGGTATGCATGTGTACATGAAACATCATTCAGATTTTTAAAAGATAGAAGAAATTCTACAACTGCACAGAAGAAGCTTGAGGATAAATAAGCCAGGCCCAGAGGGACAAGAGGCTGGTAATCTCAAAGGTAAAAATTCGGCTCACAGGACTAGTGCTTGGAAATGTAGTTCTTGGGGGCTGGGTGGTAGAAATGTTGGTCAAATAATACAAAATTCTATATAAAGAGTAGAATGTATTCAAGAGATATGGTGTACCATGTAGTTGCCATCATTAGAAATAGTGTACTAACTGCTCACAGAGTGCATGAATATTTTCACACAAGAATGATTAAGTGTTTGAAATAATATACAGGTTAATGACTTGGTCTGGCCATTACAAAATATGTACATATTTCAAAGTATATGACAAACACACACACACACACACACACACACACATATAAATTTCTATTCAGTTATAATAAATTGAAGAAATCAATAATATATCAATCAAGAAAACTTTAACAAAATGCATACTTTTTCTAGAAGGCTCATCACGTCCAAACAAAACCAAAGCTTACCAGAATTTTAATTGGCTTGACTACTTTTCTTGTAATGATACCAGGGGCTCTCAAGCGGATGGCTTCCAGAACACACCATTTAATTAGAAGGAGCTTCTTCAAGTCATCATCAGACACTTCAATCTTATCTTTCCCTGTAAAGAGAATTGTTTAAAGATTAAAGGAAAGATGCGCTAGAGAGAGCAGAAGGTGATTTTGAGCAAGCTCATCAACGCAGGATAAGCTCACCAAGGAAAGTGCTGCTGGGATGTATTGATTCTGTCTCCTTCCTTTGCCAGAATGGACTGGCACCTAACCCTAGCTGTAACAGTCCTGTGGCTACAAAATGGCTAAGATGGTACCTGTCTGGAAAGCAGTTCCGTTTTCCTCATCTCATTCTTCCTTGTCAAAACCCCCATTGCATTTAACGAAATAGCGGCAAAGATTGGCAGCACAAGGGGAAAATACAGCAGGCCAGTAAAGTAAAGGTTTCCAAAAAGTGCTGGACATCCTTAGCCATTGGGGGATGCAAATCAACACTGCCTTAAAGGGCTGGAAGATGGCTCAATTGGTAAAGACTTGCCATGCAAGCATGGGGAACTGAGTTTGAATCCCCAGCACCTATGGAAAAAGCTAGGTGGGGCTGAATGTCAGCATTAAGAAGGTAGAGAAGGAGATCCCTGGGCTTACAGGCCAACCAGTCTAGCAGAATCAGTAAATTCCAGGATCACTGAAACACCTGTCTTAAAAAATAAGGTAGAAAAGCTTTGTAGAAGACATCTACCATTGACTACTACCAACCACAAGCTGATGTAGAGTGTTCCAGGGATCTGATGCCCTCTTTTAGACATCAGAGTCACTGCATGTACATGGTGCACATATATATGTGTAGATAAAAGCACTCATATATTAAAAATAATGTTTTTAAGTTCTGGAGATCATTACATTGCAAAATAAACCCAACTGTGGAAGATAAGTATCATGGTGTTCTCATAGGCACTCACATATATCCATATACATACATACATATGCAAACATATATCCATATACATACAAACATACACACATGCATACACACATACACTCAAAAAATACTTTAGGATTGCATTTCATTCTAGTAAGAATGGCTATCAGACAAACAAATGAAAATAAATGTTTGCATGTATGTAGAGTAAGCAGAGCCTGTCTACATTGCTAGTGGGAGAGGAAACAGGTGCAGCCTCTACAGAGATCAGTATGGAATGTCCTGATGAAACTAAAACAGAACTACCAAGTGATGCAGCTATTCATCTCCTGGGTATGGTCCCAAAGGACTCTAAGCCGTACACACAGAGATACTTGCATATCCCTGTTTACTGTTGCTCTGGTCTCAACAGTCAAGATAACAGAAACAGCCTAGACATCCATCAGCAGATAAAGGGATAAAGAAAATGTGGTACATACACACAGTGGAATTATATTCAGGTGGAAAGAGGAATGAAAATGGATACAATTTGAGATCACTGGACCTTGTTGCTCATGAAGATGGCATGGGTTTGTTTCCCAGATCTTACCACAACCAGTGACTTCAGTTCCGGGCATATTCAACACCTTCTTCTGGCACCAGGCAAGCACAGAGAACACATACATGCATGCAGGCAAACACATGTACACATAAAATAAAAATAAATCTTTTTTAAGTGCTGGAGATCATTATATTACACAAAATAAGGCTGACTGAGAAAGAAATAAATGGTCTGTTTTCTCTTAAGCACAGAATCTATATTGAAATGTATGTATAACACATACATAGGATATGACTGTAGTAAGGAACTAGGAGAGGGAAGAAAGAGTCTCGGGGAGAACAAGAGAGTGTTATGGAATATATATTTATAGGAAAGAGTCAGTTACAGGAGGTCAGATGGATAAAGGCAACAAGGAGGTGAATAAGAACATAGTACAGATTTTAGAAAGATGACCTAATGATTCTATGGATTGGAAAACTTAAAGGAAATGGACAACTTTCTGGATAAATATCACTTACCAAAATTAAATCAAGACCAGATAAGCAAATTAAATAGACCTATAACTGCTAAAGGAATAGAAACAGTCATCAAAAGTCTCCCAACCAAAAAAGCCCAAGACCAGATGGTTTGAGCTCAGAATTCTACAAGATTTTCAAAGAAGAACTAATATCAATACTCCTCAAATATTCCACACAATATAAATAGAAGGAACGGTGTTAAATCCTTTTTATGAAACTACAATTACCTTGATACCCAAACCACATAAAGACATTATTAAGAAAGAGAATTATAGACCAATCTCAATCATGAACATTGATGCAAAAATACTAAATAAAATGCTGGCAAATTGAATCCAAGAACACATCAGAACCACCATCCACCATGATTAAGTCGGCTTCATACCAGAGATGCAGGGATAGTTTAACATACGAAAATCTGTCAATGTAATCCACCATATAAACAAACAGAAAAATAAAAACTACATGATCATCTCATTAGATGCTAAAAAAGCTTTTAGCAAAACACAACAACCCCTCGTGATAAAGGTCTTGGAGAGAGCAGGGATACAAGGGACATACCTAAACATAATAAAGGCAATATACAGCAAGCCAACTGTCAACATCAAACTAAATGGAGAGAAACTCCCAGCCATTCCACTGAAATCAGGAACAAGACAAGGGTGTCCACTCTCTCCATATCTATTCAATCTAGATCTTGAGGTCCTAGCTAGAGCAATAAAACAACAAAAGAAGATCAAGGGGATACAAATTGGAAAAGAAGAAGTCAAACTCTCACTATTTGCTGATTATATGATAGTTTATATAAGCAACCCCCAAAATTCTACCAAGGAACCTCTACAACTCATAAACACTTTCAGTAATGTAGCAGGATAAGATTAACTAAAACAAATACAAAAACAAAAAACAAAAAGAGTAGCCCTCCTTCACAGATGATAAATGGGCTGAGAAAGAAATCAGAGAAACATTATCCTTCACAATAGCCACAAATAGCATAAAATATCTTGGAGTAACTCTAACCAAACAAGTGGAAGACCTCTGTGACAAGAACTTTAAATCTCTGAAGAAAGAAATTGAAGAAGACACCAGAAAATAGAAAGATCTCCTATGTACTTGGGCAGGCAGAATTAACACAGTAAAAATGGCAATCTTACCAAAAGCAATCTACAGATTCAATGCAATGTTCATCAAAATCCCAGCAAAATTCTTCACAGACCTTGAAAGAACAGTACTCAACTTCACACAGAAAAGTAAAAAACCCAGGATAGCCAAACACAATCCCCGACTTCAAACTCTACTACAAAGCTATAGTACTAAAAACAGCCTGGTATTGGCATAAAAACAGACTGGAGGACCAATGAAACCGAACTGAAAACCCGGAAATTAATCCACAAACATTCGAACACCTGATTTTTGACAAAGAAGCAAAAAATATCAAATGGAAAAAAGAAAGCAATCTAACAAATGGTGCTGGCATAACTGGATATCAACATGTAGAAAAATGAAAATAGACCTATATCTATCACCATGCACAAAACTCAAGTCCAAATGGATCAAAGACCTCAACATAAAGCTAGCCACACTGAACCTCATAGAGGAGAAAGTGGGAAGTACACTTGAACGCATTGGCACAGGAGACCACTTCCTAAATACAATCCCAGTGGCACAGACACCGAGAGAAACAATTAATAAATGGGACCTCCTGAAACCAAAAAGTTTCTTAAAGCAAAAAACATGGTCAACAAGACAAAACGGCAGCTTACAGAATGGGAAATAATCTTCACCAACCCCACATCAGACAGAGGACAGATCTCCAAAATTACAAAGAACTCAAGAAATAGGTTATCAAAAGAACAAATAATCCAATAAAAAATGGAGTACAGACCTAAACAGAGAACTCTCAACAGAGGAATCTAAAATGGCTGAAAGACACTTAAGGAAATGCTCAACACCTTTAGCCATCAGAGAAATACAAGTCAAAACAACTCTGAAATTCCATCTTATACCTGTAAGTATGGCCAAGATCAAAAACACTGATGACAACTTATGCTGGAGAAGTTATGGGGTAAAGGGAACACTCCTGCATTGCTGGTGGGAGTGCAAGCTGGTACAGCCCCTTTGGATGTAAGTATGGCAATTTCTCAGAAAATTAGGAAACAACCTTCCTCAAGACCCAGTAATACCACTTTTGGGTATATATCCAAAGGATGCTCAATTATGCCACAAGGACATGTGCTCAACTATGTTCATAGCATAACATAGTTTGTTTGTCATAGCCAGAACCTGGAAATAACCTAAATGCCCCTCAACCAAGAATGGATAAGGAAAATGTGATACATTTACACAGTGGAGTACTACACAGCAGAAAAAAATAATGATATCTTGAATTTTGTAGGCAAATGGATGGAGCTAGAAAACATCATTTTGAGTGAGGTAACCCAGACCCAGAAAGACAAATATCATATATACTCACTCACTCATAAGTGGCTTTTAGACATAACCAAAGAAAACCAGCTCACAAATCACAATCCCAGAGAACTTAGACAACAATGAGGACCCTACATACATGGATCCAATCTACATGGAAAGTAGAAAAAGACAAGATCTCCTGAGTAAATTGGGAGCATGGGGACCTTGGGAGAGGATTGAAGGGAAGGGGAGATGCAGGGAGGGGAGCAGAGAAAAATGTACAGCTCAATAAAATCAATTTAAAAAAATGAAAAAAAAACAAAGTATATGTAGAGATATTTGAGTATGAAAACATCACAATGAAACTCATTTCTTTGTATGTTAACAAAGTTAATTTTAAAAGACACACACAGACACACAGAAACACTCACACAGCCACACTCACAAACACACACAGGCACACACACACAGATACTCGTACACAGACACACAAAGAGACACACACACAGAGATATTAAAAGTGGTCTGGCCTTCCTTCCTGACAATTAATGTTTGTTTTTGTTGTTTTGGTTTGACAAATGGAGACCAGGTCTGGCCTTGAACTCAGTCTTAATCCTTCTGATACCTTTGACTGAAGGCATTCACCATCATGCCCAGCTCTTTCACTTTTCTATTTATTTTTTATAGAATCCAAAGACAGGGACAGTGGGGGAGGGGGGGCTT